CACACACACACACACACACAGACATATATATGTATATATTAGTGATGTCAATAGATTGAAAAAAAATATCTGATTAACTGATCTCACAATTTTCTGTAATTAATCGCGATTAATCGCAATTACTTGATCAATAGTCTGGCTGTAATTACATTTTTTCAACTTTATTTAATAAGCTTGTAACGGACATTTATGCAATATAATGAGTGAATGCAGAATAAACACAAAGAGTGTTAAACGCTTAAATTCAAATAGAATTTGAACAGTTTTCCTTTAGCACAGGCTCAACTTTTAAAAAAGCCTATATACTAATAGGGAAGTATACACTAATATATAATATATATTAGTGCTGTCAAACTATTAAAATGTTTAGAATAAAATAGAATAGAATTCAACTTTATTGTCATTGCACATGCACAGGTACAGGACAACGAAATGCAGTGCCCTGTACCTGTGCAGGGCACTGCATAAGGTACACTGTACCTGTGTACCTTATGCAGATTGATCACAGGGTAACTGTGGATTCATTTTGATTAACGATTAAACATCATTTCTTTTTATTCTATATTAATCACGCTTACACTAACCAGTCCCCGGCCTCCTTCCTTTCACTTAGCATACATGCTCAGGGTCAGGAGCTCTTTTGTCTGTATGTCAGTGGCTTCTATCTCCTCCTTTGGCCAGTTTTTTTCCTCCCATCAGGGTACCTGATGTACAGGAGGCTGATGATGGCTCCGTCCCGTAGTCGGTATCCGTAGCCAGTCTTGTCAGTGATCTCACTGAGATGCTTCAGGCTTATGCAGAACAGCAGTGGGGACAGAGCATCTCCTTGGTAGATCCCACACTCGATGGTGACTTGTGCTATGGGCTTGAAGTTGGCCTCTGTGTTGTCTGCCACATCCCCATTGAGTTCTTGATGAAGGCTCTCAGGGTCCTGTTGATTTGTATAGTTCCATTCCAGGATCCAGGTGTGGGGCATTGAGTCATAGGCCTTCTTGTAATCAATCCAGGCAGTGCACAGGTTGGTCAGTCTGGTCTTGCAGTCTCGGCTGACTGCTCGGTCTACCAGTAGCTGGTATTTTGTGCCTCTGGTATTCTTGTCCATCCCTTTCTGTGCCCCGCTCATGTATTGAGCCATGTGCCTGTTCGTCTTAGCCAACACAGCAAATCAGTTTACCAAAAGCACCTATGCAAGGCCTAATTTCTATAATGTGTGAGCCCCAGCTCCGGCATTGCACACTGCCCAACTAATGCTGCACCTGAGCCAGTTAACATAAAAGCAAACCCAAATACAAAAGAATCTGTTTTAAAATCCAACTCTTACTCTAAAATAAAGCAGTGAAGAGCAACAAAAGGAGAAGAGGAAAAACAGTAACACAATCTGATGTGCAGCGTGCTCTGCAGGAGACAATACGATATAAATTACATGTCAGTGCATAAATACCACATTTTTATCTGTTGAATGTATTGAATTACCAAACCTCCAACTGACTGCTGTGTTTACTATACAACTTAATTATTGTCCTCTTAATCACTACTAAAGCAATGTACAATAAACATCAGACACATTTCATCAAACTTAATTAAAAAGAGCTGACTTAAAAAAAAACATCTGTACCTTGAATCTCTGCTGTGGGGCAAAATAATCACAATGTGTGTGAATGGACTAAATCTTCTCAACAGCACAAAGAGAGAAGAAGAGCACTCGCTGCTACTTCCTCCCTTTGATCCCTTGTGTCCTAAAGCCTTCCCCATTACATCTCCATCTATTTCCTGACCA